GCCTTAAAATAAAAATAAATATTACCCGTGGAGATAGACAGTGTTGCATGCCAAGCGCTGATACTACATATAATCAGAAGTAGATAATAATTCCCTATTATCTACTTCTGATAGAATAAATACATTCTACTACCAATGGCCTACTATGTCCGACAAAAGAGGGTTGGGGGAGGGAGAAAGAGAGATACAGGGAGAGGGAGAGAGGAAAGAGATAGAGATAGAGAAAGTAGTACGCGGTAGTATATATATATATTATTATATATATATTTATATATATATATATATTATTATATATTTATATATATGTATATTTGTTGTTATATAACTGCAAAGTATACCGCATTGTAATTGGTGGCGAGAATGACACGTGCCTTAAAATTAAAATAAATATTACCCGTGGAGATAGACAGTGTTGCATGCCAAGCGCTGATGCTATATATAATCAAAAGTAGATAATAATTCCCTATTATCTACTTCTGATAGAATAAATACATTCTACTACCAATGGCCTACTATGTCCGACAAAAGAGGGTTGAACCAGGAGACAATTGGAGGATATCAGATATGTTTAAATATTAAAATAGTTAAACACAGGGTGTGATAACAATTCTTTTTCCTGCCGGCAGCTGCCACTGGCATTTGCTTACAATAGGTTTGAAAAAAGACTTTTATCAGTATTTTTGGTAAATTAAGGTCTATCTGTCTGGACTGTAATTATATATAGGAAAAAAACGATCAGGGGCGATGGTTACTAAATTTTTAAGGTGAAGTTTGAGTTCATGGTTTTTAAGTTACGCTTAATAAATCATAGATATACAAAGACAAGAATGTGGAATTGTCATAACACACTTGGCTGCGTGTCAACACTGCTCACAGTCATACTCCCATTAAATAATTTACTCCTGATCTTACATATGGCAAATTATTGATTACCTGGTTGTTCGGGACTGGTTTTGTGGACCTCAAAAAATTCAATGTTGCCCGAGACCATTGATTTTCTCACTCCGAAAACCCCCGTTTGCCTCGCTGCAAAGCACTAATGGTTTAATATATATATATATATATATATATATATATATATGCGTGTGTGGGCGCATGCGGGCGTACGACAACGGCAAGTTTAGTCACTGTGGTGAGGCGTGCCTGCCGTCGGTGACGGCAGCGGGAGAACCAACACAGCGATCGTGCTCAGCCGTGTTTTGAATTGGCCGCTAGCAAACCAAGAGAACCAGCCAGCGCGTGTCATCTCACGGAAGCCGTCACGTCGTCGACTTGCTCGTTGTGGGTGAATAACTTCGACACAACGCGGCCGCCATCATGCGGGTCACCTTGCGGCAGTATAGACACACTGCTGTGGGGCGTGTGTCCGTGATCCCCATGCCCGTAACGTGCTGGGGCGTTGCGTTGGCATTTGCACGGGTTATCCACGTAGCGCACTTTTACAAACGCTCGATGTTTATCCATCGAAAACTGACGGCGGGTGCGCAACTGGAAAAAGGTTCAACACGAATCGCGTGCGCGGGTATTTGTTACGATTTCGCAAAGTCAACTCAATTATGAGTTGCATAATGGCACCAGAGACACGAATTATGGCAGTATGCACGTGAAATGGACGCGCACAAAACACGCTAAGTCACGTAACTCAGATTTGCGCTGTTTGTTGCCAACGCTGAGGAGAAAGGCCGCGCCATTACGGAAGCGACCGACACAAAAAGCGCGGAGCTAAAAGCAAACAGAACGATTGGGGGTTTTAGGTTGATTGCGTCGGCCGTCGTGTAACATAATATAACCGGCTGTGTTCACAATTCGCAAAAGGCTTGATGATGTTGGCTAGTGCTTTTGTTAAGTGTTTTGTGATGGGTTTCAACCTTATGTAAATACGCGGTTAGTGTATTACATTCTGGGGTTGCATTGTGCGTTTTAGCCCTTTTAAAGCAAAATGTTGTACCTGCGTGACCGTATATGTATGCACACGTTATCTCTAAAACTGCATTGAATTGTTTAATTGCCATTGTACGCAAGTATATGTCCCGACATTACTAACACTGGTTGCTATCCCAATAAAAATAATATAGATGTGCGATATATTTACTTAATGACGCGGACAGACATAGTAGCAACAGGCACACATAGCAATAATAACTTCTTTTTTTTATTCCTGTTATGCAGAACGTACTGGGCTCAAAGTAAAGTTCAAACAGTTGTTGCCAACTCTCATTTTATATATATATATATATATATATATATATATATATATATATATATATAGTATATATATACTAGTATATACATCGTCGTACGTACGGACCGGACGGACGGACGGTAGTACGGTACGGTA